TGCTTATGACTTATGGTCTATGGCTTAAGGAGTAGTGCTTATATGTTAGAGTTTAGGGCATATTGCTTATGGTTTATGGCTTATGGCTTAAGTCTTATGATTTAAGGTTTATGTCTTAAGTATTATGTCTAAGGGATTATGCTTAGGGCTTATGACGTGTGGTGTATGAATTATTGATTATGTATTATGGCTTATTATGACATATAGACCAAGGCTTAAGTCATATGAATTTTGGTGTATGAATTATTTCTTATGACTTGGGACTTGATGTATAGGACTAAGGGCTTAAGACTTTTGTCTCATGACTACACACATACCATTACCTCTATACCTACACCCATACCCCTACACACAAATACTTGTACACTTATTCCCACAAGCTCATAACTTGTCATGTATGACGTGGGGCTTTAGAGTTATGTATAACTTAAGTTTAAGGCTTGTCACTTAGGGGTTAGGGTGTATGGCTTATGGCCTATGTATTAAGGCTTATGGTTTAGGGCTTATGACTTAGGGATTATGGCTTCAGGCATATGGCTTATAACTTAATGCTTATGGTTGTATGGCTTATCGCGTATTCCATATAGATTAATTCTTATGGTTTAGGGCTTAGGGTGTATGACTTATGGCTTAGGGTGTAGGACTTAAGTCATAGGACTTATGTCATATGGCCCAAACCCTAAACCATTAATCAAAAGCTACAAATCTTAAGCCCTAAACCCTAAACATTTATTGGCAATAACGTTTGATTTATGAATTTTCTATTTATGTTGTACAAACATTTTTTGTAGCACTTAGCATTTAAGGGTGTTGTTTGTGGTTATACACGTAGAATGGGGTATGGGTGGCAATTCACATTTAAGGGTTGGTGTTGGGTATAGGTGATGGTGAGCGTGCTTAGGTGGGTATGAGAAGATTGTGTATGGGTGGGTGTGTGTAGGTATACACGCATGTAAATGTGGGTTTTGTGTAGGATGTGTGGATAGGGATTTAAGATATGGTAGGGTGTATATGTGGGGTTATAGGTAGGTATGGGTGGTTTATGCCTTATGGCTTATGACTTATAACTTAGGACCTATAGTGTATGGCTAAGGGATTAGGGCTTATGGACTTATGGCATATGACCTATAGTGTATGGCTAAGGATTAGGGCTTATGGACTTATGGCATATGACCTATAGTGTATGGCTAAGGATTAGGGGTTATAGACTTATGGCATATAACTTAGAATCTCGAGAACTATTATATACATGCCTTAAAAGGTTCAATGTTGTTATGGCTTCGGACTTATGGCATATGACCTAAACCGTAAACCATTAACCAAAAGCTACAAATCTTAAGCTCTAAACCCTAAACATTTATTGGCAATGACGATTGATTTATAATTTTTTCAATTTATGTTGACTTAACATTTTTGTAGCACACATACATACATACATACACATAAATACATATATTTATATAGATACACGTATATACACATACATACATATACCTACAAACAAACTATAATACACATAACACATACAAGTTAATATATTGATTTTTTTATATATAAATAGATTATTTAAAATTTTAGAAGTGAAAAAAATTCAAAATTTTTAAAACTGAAATAAGTTCAAAATTTTCGAAAGTGTAGATTAAATTCAAAATTTTTAAAACTGAAATAAATTTAAAATTTTCGAAAGTGTAGATTTTGTGGCATTATGATCGAGTAATCCTGGAAATTGAAATATCACACGTCTCCCATTAAAGTTCCCTGATTCCTATTAACCCCAAAATGTTTTCAACCGCTAGGGTTCTCATGCGGTCATAGATGTTTCTTTGCGTTACTTTTCCACCTCTCCGCCCCTCCACCCCTGCTCCGCCATATTGCTCTGTAGCCCACACCAGCCAAACACCACACCCTTCTTCACCAAATAGAGGAAAGCTCTTCTGATTCCGTCCTCTTCTGCCTTCACAATGACGACGAGCTATTCTCGATTATCGTTCCCTCTTGTTCGATTCCAGAAATTTCAGATTCCCTCCATCCAAAAAAATTTAGATTTCGTTTCTTCCCTCCTCTTTAAACCTAATATCGATTAACTTCGAAAGTTGAAGCCCTTAGGACTACCAGAAACTCCAATACTCTCTGCGTTCACCAGGACACCATAGATCTAGACCTCCGTTATCGACCATCGCTCCATGGCCGATGCCACAGTCTCCGGTTGTCGCTTGTGACATTGTTGACCTACGCTGCCCCTGGTATTCTCGACCATCTCTGTGTGTTTTTCACTGCATCAACGATCCAAGGTCCATTATTGACCATCGCTCCATGACCCATGCTACCATCTCCGGTAGTCACTCGTGTCGTCGTTGTCCTGCCCCACCCTTGGTATTTTCGACCATTTTTTCCCCAATACGTACGCCTACTTTTTTTCACCATTCATTGTATTTTTGGCTTCATACTTGTTTGACGCCAATTCACCAAAAAATTCATACTAACACCTGGTATCTTCACACATCACGTTGCAATTACTAGTACATCACTTTTCACTATCTCTTTCAGTTTTTCTTAATATATATTATTGCTACACAAACACAATGCCATAAATTGAGAGAAACTATGCCCACATTAATACTTCAGTGTTTAACTGGTTTCATAAGAATTATGTTTTCCTGTAATGCAGGATAACCTATTTTATACAGTTCCACCTATCGCAATTGAGGCCTACATCAAAGCAATTGAATCTCATTAAATTCTGTTTGAGGTAAGAACACATTGCTACAAATGATAGTCTGTTATACTTGATACCATAGTATACTGTGATATTTAGGAAAATTGCTACATGGTGGGTCCCAGATACATAATAATATGCAAGCTGAGTTAGTAGGAGACTATGAAAATCAATTACATTATGACTCCTACATTGCTAAATTGCTCATGTTTTTGTGGCAATCTTCCCTTCCCATTGGTTATGGATATTGCATTCTTTTTCTTGATCTTTGATTTCTCTTTATGGGTGTCTATTCATGTGACCATTGTTTGCTTTCTCATGAAAAAGCCTTGTAGTATGCATTTCTGACACATGAGATAAATGATATTTCTTTTTCCTAATTAAGCATCAATCATTGATATGATGTTAATTTGATGAAATCTTTTGAGAATAAGAATACATATAGTTTTGTGTTGATATTGTATTAGAGCTTCAAGGTCTATAATTGACTTTATTTTACTGAATTGGAAGATGTTGATTGATCGTTTTCTGAAACCATCCTTATTTTGGTTTATGTCTTGAATTTTGTTGCCAATTTTTTCGAATGTTTATGCCCACCACTTCAATTAGTTTCGGTTCTCATGAATAAATGTTTCAAATCACTTATTATCCATGATCATTATTGTTATGCTATCTCTTTAAGGTTCTCTTTTGTGAAAAGTGAGTACCCATGATTTTATTTTATATGTTAACCTTCATTCCATGATGATAAAAGTCTAATGAGTGATATTATATTAAGTTTGTCTATGCAGTTATGACATTGTTGATGAAAGGAATCGTGTAAAAGTGACTAACAATTAGTTCTTAATTGTAGGTTCTTATTTTGTATGTTTTTGAAATTCATTATGGAATCTGGTATGACGGTCCTGTCAGGAAACGACACACTAAATCTTGGGTGAATGAGCTTTGACAATAGAAGGTTTGCATTTGTGGATTGAGTTTTTAATGAAATGACGAAGGCAACAAATATTCATCCGATAAAGCAAGCTAAGGATCAATGTCATTAAGAAAACAATATAGAAGTTTTATTTTTAGGTTTAGCATTTGTGTATATTTTTTAGTTTTTTTTTATAATTTTGGATTTGTATTGTTGTAAGAATTTTGAATTATTATTAGTAAAAATTTGTTTTTTGTTTACATTGTATTGTATATTTTCATTTTATAATATAAGTGTGTGACTGAAAATAATAATAAATATTGATAAAAGAAAAAAAACAATGATTATAAGCACTTAATAGTGATAATTTAATTACATTATGTGTGACTACAAGTAACAATAGTCGTCATGAAAACTTTATTGTGACTATGAGTAATGTTATGTCATGGTTTAATTTATTATGTGTGACTAAATAATTGAAAGTATCTCACTAACAATAAATTCACATGCTTGTTAGATGAACAATAGTCATTATAAAAAAAATGTACATGCGTCTATAAAGAGTTTATAGTCATAATTTTTGGACAAAATGCTTGATTACAAGAACATTTTTACCATATTTTTCTTAAATTGACGTGACTAAAAACTCAATAAACAATCTTTCAAGTGACTAAATAATAGGTACGACCACACTAACAATAAACTCATGTGGCAGTTGTAAGGGCAATAGTTACAATCAAATATTGTTTTTGTGACTAATTATCTGCATATCGCCACTTATGAAATTAATTATTTGTGGCCATTTAGTGAACATTGCCATGTTCACCGTAATTGCATGTCTGCAAAAGATACCCAATAGTGTTAATAAACTTTGAATTGTGTGACAGTTTATTAGCAAAACGCCACATTGAAACAAAATGTATGTCGTCGTTAGTGATAAACAGTCACTACAATTACTAAAAAATGTGTCTACTGACGGTTTAACGCCACAATATTGGATAAAATGATTGATTTTAGCAACAAAATTCCCTACCCAATAGCCACACTTTTATAATACGACCACATTTTTTCATATCATACGGACACTACATTTTAAAGTGACCATAAGACCCATACGATGGCGTCACCTTCTGTCACACTTTCAGTGAAAAAATAAAATGTCACTATACGCATATGGTCACTCTTTTTTGGTGTGACTATAAGTCATTTTTCTTGTAGTGCATGATAATCAACTCGTTCGACCCTGTTCATTATAAATGTGATCGAAAAGTATGTTATTGGGAATGAACTCATACACTAATACCGGTACCTCCTCTTCCAAACGACAGCCCAACAGTTTCACGACATTTCCATGGATGATTTTCGTTATTACCAATACCTCATTGATAAATTGTTCCTTTTCGGTCTTACCCACTGAAACATCTTTATTGCAATAACGCGTTTATCCGATAGTACTCCTTTATAAACAACCCCAAAACCTCCTCGCCCCGCAATTCGCTCATTTGAATAGTTATCGGTTGCTTTACGAAGCTGGTCGGTGCTATATACAGTCACGGTGTAAGCAGCATCTTGTGAATTCAGTTTTTGTTTGAGCAACACACCACCATTTTGCTCAAAAAACTTCTCTCGTAGCTTCATAAGTTTCCTCTTCTTGATGCTAAAGAATATCCCAATGATTCCAGCTAATGTCAACATATCCCCAACCAAAGCTACATGGAAAAATATAAGGAAAATGATCAGTTAACCAGATGAATACTAAACATGGGAACGTCATTTGCAATAAAGCCACCTTTCCAACAATTACGTATACCACAAAATTATTACAACTTATCTTGCAAAAATTGGTTGTTAATCCATGAAATATATATTGTTTTTTTTTCTTTAAAATGATACTTCAAAAAAAAGAGAAAAAAAATACATTTTGCGAAATAAAAAAAATAAGTATTTTTTGGATTGAAAACAAAAGTGGATACAATAATTTTTTAGTTAAGATGTTTGCCTTTTTGAGGAGAAACACACATTACCTTTTTACACATTTAAATGTAAATGAATATCATAAATTTTTACACATAAAAAATAGTCAACGATTGGTTCAAACACAGATTTTTATACGGAAAAAGTAGTATTGGATAGAGTAGAACATATTACCTATATAAAGCTTAGTCTTGGATAGAGTAGAACATAAAACCTATATAAGCTTATATTCATTTACAACCTAACTCAAATCAAATATCAATAAAAAATTAGTTTCTATACACATTAGCAACAAACGAATTTGTCCAATTAAACCCAATTCATTTATATACATTAGCAAGCCAACGAATTCTTACTTTTTTATTTAAAAAAATATTATATATTGATTTTTGGTGATCTGCTTATAGTCTAATTAAATTGGACATCTTGACCAACCAATTTTTCTAACCTAATTTTCTATACATTTGAAAGAAAATGTAAGGCCAATTTCGCAAAATTTTTATATATTTTGGGAAAGATGTATACTGAAAAAACAAAATTTATGAAAAAATGTTAACTGTATGAAGAAAAAAAATCGTAAAATATGTTAGTTTCAACCACTTGAAAAAAGTAATTTTGAAAAAATAATATATTTTGACAAAATAAATTATCAACTTTGATGCATTGGTCAAAAGGATTTGTGACCGTACACATTTTGACTTGCAATGCTTAATTTATTGTGCCTAATTATATGATGTTAGATTTAAGTATTTAACACATTATTAATAATAATACTTGTGTGAAGTATACCAACAGAGAACACCGCCACTGGAAATTTTTATTTTTTAGCAACCGGTCAACAGCCGTATTTTTCTTTGACTTCGTCTTCATATCCTTGCAAACATGTACAACTGTAATTTCCTAACTATTAATGCATCTTCCATAACAAGGGTAAGTGCAGGCCCGAGCCTGAGATATTGGAGGCCCTGTGTAAAAAATTAAATTAAGGCCCCATACCTTTTTTGTAAAATATTATTAAGAAATTTTTTACCGCTAAAGACAAAAAGATTCCACTATTTTATCAAACAGAATTTTTATTGTTTATAATATGAATGAGATTTGTAATATGCAATTCTATTTTAATTAACTTAATATTATTATTTTCTTCTAACTTTTTTTAATAATATAATATTAAAGAAAATTCTCAATCGGAGACCCCTTACGATTGGAGGCCTGGTGCGATTGAACACTCGCACCACCCCAAGCCGCCACTGGGTAAGTGCTATTATCTTCGCACTTGTTGATATCTAGCAAACAAAGTTATTCAAGTATTAAAACAAAGAGGTACAAAACGTGGCATACACATGGTTTGCTAATATTACAAAATGAATGCACATGCCTAGTCATATTGGCACATTAATGTATTTGTTATATGTGTGTGTTTTGTATCTAATTTCAAAATTAATTGACCAAGACAAAAAGGGTTTACTCATTTATTTTTTACATATCTCATTTAGACCATCTTTAACACTAGAGTAAAAATAATAATGCTAATAGTGATTTATCTATATCTTCACCTTAATTTTCACTAATTTTTTAGACCCAAAAATATATCCCAACTGTATTCTTTTTCTTCAAATTTTTATATATTCAGTAATACTTTTCAATTTAAAAGACTTTTATAGTTTGTCTAAAATCATTTTGTTTTAATAACCTTAAATTTTTTTTATTAATAAATAAACATAACAAAACAAATAATTTAAATTAATTTTGATATTAATATAACAAGTATTTTATTAAATAAAAAATTTCATTCATAAGCCATCAAAATAAATATTAAAACTCACTTGTAAAAAGTTATACATATATTTAAAGAAATAAGACACATACGATTTAGAAAATTTTAACAAAGAAATATTAAAAAATGTTTAAATTTAAAATATATTTGAAACAATTTTCATATTAAAAATATAATAATAAAATTAAACTAATACTAAATAAATAAACTCAAATTTTAAATATGTTAAATAAACTAGATATAAATAAACTTAAACTTGAACAAACAAATATGGCAAGTAAAAGTTAACCTTAATTTATAGAGTTTATAAATTAGGTTCTTTCAAATTTAAAGTTTAGTTGTCTTAATCTTATATTCGATGTAAAAAAAATAAAGTGGAATTGAAGAACAATTTTATAATATATATATATATATATATATATATATATATATATATATATATATATATATATATATATATATATTTCATATTTTTATTTTACATAAATTATTGAATAATTTATAAATAAAGTGGAAATGAGAATGCTTTTTAATTGAAAAAACAATTGTAAATCATTAGTAGTGTACAAGCACTAATGTTTTGAAAATAAGACTAGACTAATAGAGTTCAACTGTTTTCAATCGATATGGGTCAAACCTCCGGCTTAAAACCCAATGGTTTATAATTAGATTAAAATAAGCCACTTCACTCGAAAACATAGTCAAATCGGCGAGTTGAATGTTGTAAACCAAACTTTATAAAACAAAATATCTATAAATAAATAAACCTTATTTGGAATTGGGTCTTTAATGCAAATGACAGCCTAAGTTTATAATTAATGGACCAAAGCCTAAATATAACCTAAAAGAAGGTCTCCCCATCCGGCTTTTAATAAGCATAACTCTATTGGGTATAATCTTGATGTGGAAAATTGAATAAATAAGTATTTATGGTCTTTACATTTTATGCTTTAATTTATTATCTAGAAATGGTACATTAGTTTGACTAAATTGTTTGGAGTTGAAAGAATGGGTGATTAGTTGTACTAGTCTTAAGTAGATTAGTTTAGTATGGCTATTTTCATGCATCACGTTGGTGTTTAGAAGGCTATATGTAGCCCTTCTTAAATATGAAAAAAGTAGAGTTTATTTTGTCATTACTTTTCTATATACAATGCATAATTAATTCATTTGTGCAGAAAACTTTTTTTCTCCTTTATGTCATCACATCGAGTAATAAACAAACACAAGTGTTATTTTTAGTGTAAGTTTTGAGGGTCCATAATCTACAAATTCTACTCTCAACACTTTTGATGTGGGATGGGCCATAAATTAAATTATACTCTACTTCTCTCCTTATGTGTTTTATTAATAAGTTTTTTATATCTATCATCTTTGTAGAAAAATAAGCTTTAAAAGTTAACTTTGGACTGACACAATGAGAGCATCTATCTACTCGGGTTTTTGGGACCAGTAGTTTGTGTCAAATATAATTTTTATGGGAACTGATTTTGTTCTAAATTCGAAACTGACCTTGGGAGCCATTATGAAGATAAGGATTGCCCTGGTAACCTTTATTGCAGCTGCAGCGATATCCACCAAGATCTTCATCGTCCATGCAGAAGCTATTTGCCTCGCATTCTGTAGCCTGTGAGCAACTCCGCTTGCCTCGTCCAATTACCCAATCCACCAGGATGTGGACATGTGAATCTAAAGAAAGCTTTGAAGCACCAGACAAATCACGTGCACCACCAAAGCCAAAGTGGTTTTCCTCAGCAAGAAATGCAAAACCGCAAGGATTGAACGACCTTACATTCATATGGTTATCAAAGGAGCCAATATTTACATTGAAACCCTTGAGACCCTTTGGTATTGATGTCTGACAACACCCAATTCCAGAGCAGTTACCATTAATGTTACACACATTACTTACGTTAGTACTTAGTACATATGCCCATACAGCCACTAGCGTAGTTGGATCCATGTGGTCCTCTGATCCAAGCATAGTTATAGCATCCAACGACAGTAAACTTGTTTTTAGACGAAAAAGTGAAAGGGCCCGCCTCATCGAATGCCATACCTGAATTACCACTAGAATCGTTCACAGATTCGTTGTAGCAAGAGCGAGCGAGCAACAGAATTGAAATTGCTGATCTTGGAATCCGAGATACTGTATATGCCGATGTTCCCTGAGCCGATAAAAAGCTTCGGGGGTTTAAAAGTGATGTTGCAGGTAAGTTCAAATGACTCGTCTTAGGAACACCCTTTGCTTATTCCAAATGGGAAGGGAATTGTTACGTTCCCGCATTTTGTTTGGCAGTGTGGCTTTGCAATAGCTGTAAGGGCACCTACCAAATTGCTTTCAGACAACAACGCGCGAGGATGAAAACAAGAAGCATGTTTCTTTTTTCTTGTATTTCTTTGATCAGAGAAGTTTTGTGTGTGATTTGGTTGTATGTTAATGCATCTTATATATATTCATATTTAGAGTAGACAAAACAGCAAAAATGGTCCTGTTGTTTACATTCTTTTTAAGTTTTGGTCCTTATTGTTTCACAGTTGCAGTTTTTGTCGTTTCCAACAGATTTCATTATGGATTTGGTCATTCCAAACTAAAATGACTATTGTACCCTTAATATATTTACTCATTATTTCTTTTTTTAAATATTTTATTATTTTTAAATATACTCTCCCTCTCCCTCTCTTGAAAACATAAAATAGTCGTCAGACCATCTTATATCCAACAAAACTCGACACCATTACCTCCGATAGGTTAAATCCAAACCCTCTTGGTTAGTTCCTCAATCAGCCACCATTGCAGTTGTATACCACATTGGTCGACTCCCTTACGTAAAACCCTCGAAGATAACCACCCAAAACCTGAAAAACAAATCCGGCCAACCATCTAAGATGATGGCGACTCGAGTTTAGAGACATGGAAAGGCTATGTCTAGGATTTCGCTAGATGGTGGTCGGAATACATATTTTATTTCTTTTATTATATTATAAATATAATTAAATGTGATAAGTATATTATATATTTACTAATTATTTAAAAATATGTATGTTAATTAAATTATGGATTAAAAATAGGTACTAAAATAATTTGAAACACAGATTTGCATATAAACTAAACACACAATTTTTCTTTAAATGTACTTATTTATCGAAATATTATAAATTTCACAATTCCTATTGATACTTTGCAAGATAAATATTAGGGTTTATTAACCTTGTATTTATATTTATTTATATGATGACACTTCATTATTTGATATATTTTTCAAATTAAATTATGGATTAAAAAGAGATACTAAAATAATTTGATACACGGATTTGCATATAAACTAAACACATAATTTTTCTTTAAATGTACTTATTTATCGAAATATTATCAATTTCACAATTCCTGCTTACTTTGCAAGATAAATATTACGATTTATTAACCTTGTATTTATATTTATTTATATGATGACACTTCATTATTTGATATATTTTTCAAAATATCTTTATACAAATATCCCCCCCCCCCCACTTTATTAAAATAGTATCCTTAGGGCGTGTTGGACAAAACCAGCTATAACTTTTTGATTTGGAGGGTTTTGCTAGTAACGGGTAGCGTTTTGCTAAACGCTGCGTGAAGTAGCTTTTTGATTTGGAGGGTTTTGTTTAAACTAAACGCTAGAAGCTTCTAGTGCCAAACAAGACTTTCTATTCAAAGCAGAGCATTTTGTCAAACGCCAGAAGCTCCTAAACGCTCCATGCAGAACACACCCATTATGTTTATCACGTAAAATAAGGTTGTGATAGTTTGAATATTTAATTTTTTGTATGTAAATTTCCATATGATAATTTTGTTTTCTGTAAAATATGGTCACCAGATTTCAAGTGGACAGCCTGTCTCATATTGAATCAAAAGAGGAGAAAAAAACGAATATAATTGTAATATCGAATTACCTTATTTAACGGATTGACATTTATCGGATTACCTTAATTACCTTTGACCTTATTTAGTGGATTTGACAGCATGTATATATCCGGTCAATAGGGGCACAATAGGAAGATTAAATTCAGGAAGCAGTTTTTAAGAGATAAAATAAGGGCATTTTCGGTAGTTGACAAAGAAAAAAGAGCAGGAAAAAAGATTGGGGAAAATACATGTGTATGCATTGTGATACAACAAATTCATATATGCATTGTAACACAACAAAAAGTCGAATAGAACTATATGTTTCTGCCGTTGGATCGATCATGTACGCTATGACATGTACTCGCTCTGATGTGACTTTTGCGTTGAGCATGGGTAGCCGATATCAAGGGAACCCAGGTAGAGCTCATTGGACATCAGTTAAGAATATTCTTAAGTACATGTGAAGGACTAAGGACTAGGTCCTTACACTTGGTGGGAGTGATGACTTGAGAGTGATAGGGTATAGTGACGCCAACGACCGCCAGAGATAGCTTACGCTCTCAGTCGGGCTGCGTATTTACCCTAAATGGAGGAGCAGTTACTTGGAAAGTGTAACACCCATAAAATTTGAGTCAATTTAAAACTTTTTAAATCATTTAAAACCATTCATTTATTACAATTAGTTTCAAAATAGTTTAACATTAGAGTTCCCAGAAATCATATTCATCAATCGAGGAAGTGTACGGTCATGCCTTCGCATTACCGCGGTCATCCGTTGTACCTGAAACAATAATCGATAAATGTAAGCTCGAAGGCTTAGTGAGTTACCCCCAAAATACCCATACACACAACAATACACATATAATAACAAACAACATACTATGGGTCCAATCATCCGTCGGGATGGAATACCCCATTCCCCTCAACCATCGGGTTGGAATGCCAACATACTATGGGTCCAATCAACCAGCGGGTTGGAATACCCCAGGCCCCTTAACCGTCGGGTTGGAATGCCAACGTACTACGAGTCCAATCATCCTCGGGATGGAATACTCTCGGCCCACAACCATCGGGTTGGAATGCCCACATACTACACACATAGCACAGATACTATGGGTCCACTCATCCATCGGGATGGAATACCCCAGGCCCCTCAACCATCGGGTTGGAATGCCAACATACTATGGGTCCAATCAACCAGCGGGTTGGAATACCCCATGCCCCTCAACCACCGGGTTGGAATGCCAACGTACTACGAGTCCAATCATCCTCGGGATGGAATACTATGACAACCGTCAATTTCCGGTCAAGTCAAAGTCAAATAAATTCAACAAGTCAAACCGGTCAACTCAATTAAGCCTTGTATATTAGGGTTTACATCGTGTTTACTATTGTACAACACACCATCGTAATGCAGGTATCACTTTCAGTCTTCCTGTGTTCAGAGAAATCTAAACCCTAATCAGGGTAAGTGGTGAAACTGCTCGGTAAAACATTTTTCCGTACCCCTCGGGGGCGTATAACACTCATAACAAGGATTACCGGGTCTTGCGAACCTTGCATTTCAAGGCCAAACACTCACAAAAGTCACAAATAAAGTCTCTCTAAGTCTCTCTCTCGCTCTCTCTCTCTCTCTCTCAAATCTCTCTCAAATCTCTCTCAAATCTCTCCCAAATCTCTCCTAAATCTCTCTCATAACCTCCCTGAACTTTTTATAATCATTTAGGACACCCCGGCCCTTAACTTAGTCAAAAACCGCTCGAAACGGGAAGTTTATGCGAAAAACAGCTCTATAGAAGCGAAACCCTAAGAAGCCTCCTGGACCGAAGCCTCTCTTTAGAACCGAGACTACTCCTTAAGGACCGAGACTAGCTTAAGAACCGAACTCTTGAGGACCGAACCTGCCAAGGACCGAACCCAAACTTCGGAGGACCGAAGGTCCCTTCGGACCGAACTACCATTCGCTTCTGATCGCCTCAATTCACTCCTTTCAGCTTCGGGCCCGAAGTCCTGGTTCGCGTCTCCACCTCGGACCGAGGGCTAGGTTCGGGACTCACCCTCTAAGGACCGAACCTTCGGCCTGACTTCGGATTTTACCATTTCTTCCCGGTTTTCGACCCCGATCTCGTTTTAAGCCCGTTTTCGATGATTTTCGCACGAGATTTTCGTATAAATCCATATTTTATTATTTTTAACCTTCCAAGATCATGAAATATGCATATTCTAAGGATTCTTGTATTAAAACCCACACTTTTCTTAAGAGCAAATGCAAAGTACAAAAGGTGGAGTGTTGACTTTTCCATAAAGCAAAGACACAAGCTACCTCCCATACTCACTGCATGACATCCTTATGTCACTATTCACATCAGTCTTATCTACTCATTGTACCCTTATTCTTTTTCAACAAGCTACCTGCACTCTCACCTACTCAAGGATTCAATACATCTCACATCTCCTAACTCTCTTTCACTTACACATTAAGCTAAACACTTTTCTCTCTCCACCTCTCTTCAAGATTTCGAGATTCTCCAGGAGTTTTGAGCTTTTCACCCTCTTTTGGTAAGTAAATTTCATCCTTCACCTTATTATCCCATACTTCTTCACTCAATTCATGGATTTCTCACACAAATATCGTCATATTTGTTGCTAGATCTTCAAATCTTCAAGTATCTCCCAAGTGTTCTTGACTTGGAAACCTCTCTTCTTCCACCTTCATCTCAGGGAATAACTCAAGGTGAGTTCATACCCCCACATTTTCATGTTTTCTTCAAGTTTTAGGGGGAGAATACAAGTTAAAAATACCAAAAACTTAACTAAATTCAAACATCAGCTTTCAATAGGAAAGTTTAGTCCCTTTCACGGACTGTTTTGACCACCTTAAACTTGATATATTTCATAACTGTTTAATATGAAAATAGTTCAGGTTTATACCTTTAAAATGACTACTTGCACATCTCCATACGATTTTTCTACAATATATGGCGATTTTTACAAAACAGCCTATCATTTCAGAAGTGAATTCGGACCAGTCTGTGAAAATGAACATTTGCATACAAGTTAGAGACTTCTAAAAATCATAATAAAAATTGTGAGAA